TGTGATGGGTGTCCCGTGGTATGGCTATGACTATGTCTGCCAAAACCTATCTAAGGTAAGATGAAGATTATTCATTTGCATTTGTACTGTTAATTTTTTCCTTGGAAAGAGACAGCTAGATTTTGGTGATCCTGGTTTTAGATTAGGAAATACTGTGGTCTGATGGATAAGAGCATAAAGCTGGGACTCAAGACAGAGACTTTTGCTTAGCTGATAACTGATGAGCAGTGTGTTACCAAACAAGGCATTTTATTTCTCCCTAGGCAACCTGAACCCCATGATACCCGAGTGCCATGTTTGACTCCCAAGTGCCTAACTTTGGGTTTGACTAAGGAGCTATAGATGTTCTCTGTACGAGAACAGATGATGTCCAAAGGCACTACAATGCTTCTATCTGCCTTCTCAACACAGTCACTAAGCTCGCTGCTTAAAGACTAGGTGCAACAAACCACAGCAAACCTATGACTGTTAAAGGGTAGCAGTTTATGGATAAGTCATGGAGTCTCAAACAACATTATACTTATGAAAAATGTAAGAGTGAATTAAAAGTGGAAAAGATAAGACAACTGTGTAAGTTGAATGATGTCCATCCAATCCTGTACTACTACAGAGTAAACAAAATTTAACTGTTTTAATTTACTTCTGTCTACAAATAGTATGTCTGGCACAGATACTTGAAGATTTGGGATTTTTGAGACCGCAGTGCCTTTTGTGTCTTTGTTCTTGGCTGTACTGCTATTCTGGAGTTCAATAAATCTATGTAACGTGAAACTCATGCCGTCCGCTTTTTTTTCAGGATCATGTTTGTTCCCTTTCCAAAGTGCCTTTCCGTGGGGCTCCTTGCAGTGATGCTGCAGGGCGTCAGGTCCCCTACGGAGCAATAATGAAGCAGGTGAACAGTTCTCTTTCAGGGGTGCTGTGGGATGAGGTACAGAAGTCTCCATTTTATGAATACAAGGTAAGTGTCTCTGTAAGACACCATGTTGTGGAGTAAACGTTCATAAACTATAGTTCTTTGATTGTAAAGTTTTCAGGGTTAGATTCTTCCATTTGTGTTTTCTACTTCTTTTGTTCGTGTGGTAAAGGATGGCTGGATTTCCGTATCTTGAATTTCTAGTCTGAAAGAGATGCAGTGATTGAAGACTACAGGAGTAATACAGATCTTTATTACTTTGCAGTTTTCTCAAGAAATTGTATCATGTCAAAAAGGACGTTTTGGCACAAAGAAATTCTATAGCTCCATCCTTCACTGTTACAGTTACTTTTATGAGTTGATGACTGATTTAAACTAAAACAGATTCTGAGATGCTTTTAAGTTTTTCTAACCCAGTGGCTTGCATGCATGTTCTCTTCCGCATTTGGTTTCTACATAGACATAGTGAAAAAGTCCATGAATGATTGTGCTTACATGAACAACACAGTGTACGCATTTCATCTTGTTTCTTTAGACATAATTTTAAGTTTCACATGTAGATGATTAAAAGGTGTTACAAGCAGTGACCAGGTCAAAGCACCATAACTTTGACAAAATTTTATAACATCCTCTAAAACTGTTTATTGCTGAAAAAAGCACTTAATCTCTAACTAAATTCACCTCTTAGGTTAGATAGTATATCTGAGATTTTGGCTGTATTTTAAAAAATTATTAAAATACAAATTAGCTAAGTCTTTTCATCTAACTTCAGTTAAAATGTATCACTGTTTTATAACTGAGATTCTACTAGTAAAAAAATAGCCAAGTGTTTCACTTAAAATGTTTAATTGTCCTGTGTGAAAAATAATTTGTAAATCAGGAAAGTATCATTATGTAAATCTACATAGCTTGTATATCTGAGTTTTTAATTGTACTTTTCACTGCATTCAACAGAAAATGTAATCGAAACTCAATGAACTTGAATGTATCATGGTTATATCGATAGGTTGATACTGACGCTAGTGTTTAAATGTTTTTCTAGGATTCTTTTGGTCACTTCCACCAAGTATGGTATGATGACCCTCGCAGCATCTCTCTAAAAGCAGCATATGTGAAGAATCGAGGTTTAAGGGGCATTGGCATGTGGAATGGAAATAGTCTTGACTATGCCAGGGAAGCTGTAGCAGAACAACAAACTGAAGCAATGTGGCAAGCCCTGACACCGTAAGAACTATGTGCAGCCTTGATTTAGAATGATGAACATTGGTAATTTTTTATTATGGCTTATACTATCCTAGATTTTGAGTTTATATAAATATACCATGATTACAAAAACCTTGAGAACTCGCCAAATTCATCTTGTTATTTTGTATGCGAAGCCATATTTTCATTCTTCAAAAAGTTCCAATGTTCCTTTAGCAGCGGGTTTTTTTTAAAGACTGCTCATATTTTTCATTTTTCACAACTACCATAAATTGGGTAAAGCTTGAACCCAGTGTGTATCTGGTAACAAGTAAGACCAAGTGGTGGATTTACAGGGGCAATCTCATAATGATCCTTTGCTAAAGCTGCCTGGTGCAGCAAGTATTCATTCTGAGGTCACATGGTGCAGTCTCAGCTTTCTGACTTTCCACCCCAACTTATATTTTAGCTTAGTCACTCTTCAGTCAGATTAAACACAGAATACTGGAGAGACAGATTGTTGCTTACATGGAACTTGGTGAAACTTGTGCTTGGTTACTTTTCAGGAGATTAAAATATTTTACAGACTGAAGAAATTACGTAACATGAAGTAGTTGCCATTAAGATTTTTATCAGACTTGTAGTTAGAAAGGAATATTCGATAAACTCCAGTTTCACTGTGTTTATGTATCACGTAAATTCCTTACTTTCAAAAGCCAAAAATCTTGGACCTTATCTTGAAGGGGGAACATTAATATGGAGAGAACTTGGATGATATTTTCTTCCATTTCAAACTTCTTTACTTCCTGAAAACTAGAACTCAGAAGCTTATTTAATGAACTGCATATGTATTTTTCCACACACTTTAAGATTCATTCAGTAGCCTGTTGTTTGTTTTTACGTGGTGTTGCCTCTGAAATAATATGAGGTTATATTTTCTTTCTAGTTACATTTTTCATAAAATAATTTGCTTAGAGAAATTGTGTAACTTTTAAAAATATCTGTAGTAATGGAAAGATTGACTGGTCTTTACGGGATTTTTTTTTTGTTAAATAAAATGCTGCCTTCACTAAGGTTGGTAAACAGTGTTGCTGGTTTATGCTTTACTTGTTCCACAGCTTACAGCCCACACTGCTTCTCTGCTTCTCGGAACTGTTTCACAACAGATTGAAGTGCAACTGTGCCCTGCTTAATTGACTCCGTTAATGAAACAATTTATTTAATTAGATATATGTAGTCAGTTGTGGGGTGGGTTTTTTTTTTTTGGTTGGTTGGTTTTTTTCCTTTGCTAAATAGTTACTGGGAAAACACCATAGAATAGCAGCACTACCGTAATGGCTACTGAGAAGACCAGAAGACCTCGTATACGTGTCTGACTGCTTGATACTGCAGGTGATGGAAAGCAGAAGGTGAAGCCTACTGCTCTCACATAAAGAAAAAAATTCCCTTGGAAAATCAGAGGGCTCTTCACTAGAACGCTGGTCTGTATGTTTTAGGAGAAACCGCTACATGTATTTGACATATAGATAATTCAGAATTTGTATTACTATTTATATGCTAAAATACTGTGAGATAGATATTTATGAAATGGAGAGGTCTTCTGGAGCAGATGATCTAACCTACAAAATCCGAACTGAAGGCCAGATGACTTTATTATAAAACTTTTTCCTGTAGCAGTCAAGAATCATGAGTTGGTTTTGCTTTTTTAATTTAGGTTCAGGGTTTTCCAGTAGCTAGTTGCCTGCTCTTGTGTCTTAAATAAGACACAATTCTGAAATACAGGATGTAGGATTCAATCCTGATTTGAGCAAAAGTGGTTGTAGTTTTAATAATTAATTTAATACTTTAGCGCTAAAATCTTTGTTAAATCTTATCTTCAAGAAAACAAATTGGATAGCGGGTGGTTTGACTCAAGGCATTTGGAAGTTAGTCCTTTTAAGAGTTGCATAATTTTCTTATTGTATTACTGATTTCCCATGAGTGTTTCACTTCCAATAATAAATACAGCCTTGTCAGCTTTTTAGCTGACACTAATTTCTAGCGTGTTATTGTTCTGCTTAATGTAATAACATCTGGTACTGCGAAGAGGCAAACAGGAGAGCTAGAAAAAATTACTATCAAGAAGAGGTTTCTGATTACTCTTTCAGAGAATTGTTATCTAAGCACATGCATGAGCTTAAACTTAAAGAAAAACAGAGTATGCAATACTGTAAGTTGGACCAGGGTCATCATTACAGCTTGTCCAAGACAAAGCTTGCCTCTTCCACTAACTACAGAAGAAGGTTAATATCCATGTGGCTTTCCAAATGAGAGGGAACAAAAACGGCTATGTATGAAATAAGGTGAGATTATCTGAGATTTTGTTCATAATAAAATGGTAATAATACACTGGGAATTTACAGATAGGCACACTTACAGTGACAAAAATATACTTCAGTAAATAGCTAAATAAAAGATTACTGTTGCTGTAGTTCTACAGAAGATGTATTTTAATCATTTTCCAAAAATTTAATGTGTGTGCTTGAAAATAAGAATAGGAGGTTATAGATTATAGGTTTATTTGCTTAGTAGGTATTTTGTTAATGAAAGAACATCAGCATACCGTGTTGTTACCTAATTCACTAATTTGCACTTTTAAAATAACTTAGCTTTGTTTTAGACACATTACTAGATTAAACTGTATGTTTAAGTAGCTGACTAATCTTACAGTAAGAGTGAGATTTAAACAGAAGTGAGCTGCAGTACCTCAGTAGCCCAGTATACAAATTCCACAACATTTACATAGTTGATGTCTTTCTACAAGGTAACTTCAAGAACATACAAACAAATGCTCTGAAATTCTGGACTTCTATATACATTACAGAGCTTCTGTAGACTTTACGGATGTTGAAGGTGTGTCATCCTCTTAGATCCCTGATTTTCTGGACTGGAGAATTAAAGCTGAATGAATCTTCTTATGTGTCAGTTCCGCTCTCAGTGCTCGTAAATCAGATGCTGCCTGCTTTCTCAGCTGCAGAAGAAACAGTAATTTAAGGAATTGCAATTTAAGGAAGTTTTTGGAGTTGACATGCACATGGGGTTATATAACTAAGATTGAATTTTATACAGGATGGCTGAACACAGTATATATCTTTCATGTTTAAAATTTTACGCGTCTAATTAGATAGCCTAGTTCTAGCACTGCTTTCTTCTGTACTTTGCCTGGGTGTTTTTAAGAGACAACTGTGACATTCATTGTTCTTTCCAGTCCTTGTTATACAGTGGAGGAGGCATAACGAGTACATCCACCCTAGATTACTCAGTAAACAGGGGCATGGGCAATCTCTGTGAGGTAGAGGACTCCTAGGAAAAGGACCTGGGGGTGCTGGTCTTGGACTCAGGAAAAAAAGGAGAGTTTACTGCTTGTGGAAGGAGGGGCAGGCAACTCAAGAAGAGTACAGGGATCTCGTTAGGTCATGCAGAGAAGAAATGAGAAAGGCAAAAGCCCAGCTAGAACGCAATCTGGCCGCTGTCGTTAAAGACAACAAAAAAAG